AAAGCAAGCAATAATATACTTAACGATGTTACAGAGAGTGATAGATCTTTTTAAGTAGTTATCTTTTTATCCTCAATTGAGGACCCACCGGGAAAGGAGAGTGGAGAGTAGGAGAAGAGAGCGTGGTCTTTTGTCCTCCGTTCTTTATAGACAAAATTGCATCATAACTTTTAATTTAAACACTGGACAGATAAGGAAACTCCCCATATAACCACCCTACTCCCAATCTCCCTATACAGCACATTCCAGAGTCCTCATGGTACAGAATAGCAAACTAGCATCTGTTCTTTTTAACTCATTAGACATCCACACCTTAATATGTATTTGAATAGGAACATATAGAATACGTAATATAAGCATACAAACCTCTATTCCTAATGCTATAGAGCCTCTCTCCATAGTTAGATACAGGCCCACCCCCTTTTCACATAAAAGTAAGAAAGTAACGGGTTCTATCACCCTATTTCCAGTGCCGAGACCCCATCGGCACAACTAATTCTAAGTCTCTTGCAACATCACCAATAAGGCATGGCCTCCTACAACAATGGTCCAATGCAGTGTTCCTCAGAGGAGCATTAGAGACATGATGCGCATGCCTTGGAACCTTGCGCACACATCCAAGCATCAACATTTGAAAGTATAGCATGTATTGCTTTATTATGAATCTGGCACTTTGCCTAGGGCCCTGGACAATCTTAATCCAGCTCTTATTATAGTCCGTCTCTTGCTACACCACAGCAGTGTTTTTAACTAGAATTGTGATAATATGTGTTAAAGCAAAGTACAGAGCCACTGTTTTAAATCTTTCTTTTTTGTATGTGGAGCCCTGTCTCCTCCTATTGCTCCCACCCTGTTACAAATCCCAATCTGGTCTTCTTCTCCCACTCATGCCTCCCTCTCACCTCATCCTCCCATCACTCTCACCCATCCAACCTCCCAGTCATCCTTCCTTCACTTCCCATCACTATTCATCCCTAACTCCCCATCACTCCCTCTCCCCCTTATACTTGTATTACTCCCACCTACACCACATGTGCATAGGGCTGTAGGACCATGCAGAGAGGGTACTTTAGCAGTACTCTCTGTATGTTGTGGTCTCTGTGTGGCCTGTCACGAAGCGGTTAATCAACTTGGTGTGCATTTAGGCCAGTTTTACACACCCTTTCTGTCTACAAGCCTGTCTCCATTCCCGGTGGACCTACCTTTTTTGGCCTCCTTCCTACTATTATTAGGATGAGGGAGATCAGTAGGGACATTACTTGAGGAGATGGATAGAGGATTGGGCAACTTCTTACTAATATTTGGGGCAGTGTGGGGCATGTCAACCCCCTATTTTATAATTAATTAGGGCCCCAACCTAAGGGGCAAGGGTCGGGGCAGGGGACCAGGTAGGTCCCCCATCTTATTATAAATATTGGGGGCACCACCTGCAGGTTGCAGGCATTGAGTGGCGGGGGAGACTATGTCCTACACTCCGCCTCTGGTCTTCAGTGATTTTCCTTGCTTAAGGGTGCATCCACAAGCAGAAAAACCTCTTCAGTGATGTCTGTATGCTGGCTTTATAGAAGAGTGATGTCACACTATTGCTATATACCCCAGTCTGTCCCGGGTAGGAAGTGTCTATAGCAACCACAGAGAATGCGCTGTGGTTGCTGTGCTTAATAGAGCAGAAGGACATCCTGTGGGTGGTGTTTTCTGCTTTCCCTTATCAGTAAATGATTCTGCACCCCGAGGCATTAACCAACATCTGCGAGAAAGTCTATTTTTAGAGATATTTTTTTCCTTATCTATACATTTGCTAGCAAAACTGCTAGTACAATGTATAGATTAGGAGAAATATCTATTGGGAAAATCTAAATCTAGAGTGAAAAAAATCAGGCTAGGAATAATGGCTAACTAGCCCTTGCTGTTGTTGGTCCTTCCAACGTTTCGTGGCAATGACAAGCTGAGATTTCACATCCCAACTTTTTGAAGTATGAAAGCAAATCAGAGACTGGGTAGGTATGGAAGCATTAAAATGCACTTTTTGTATTGCAGTTAGAACAAAACTGGAAAAGGTTTCTTTTTTTTTTAAGTATAAATAAGTCATCTGTGACTTATAAATAATAAATATGTACGGTTGTATTTAATTTAGCAAATATACTTTCAAGGTAAAACTCTGAATTTTAACAATATGAAATCCAAATAAAAAAATAAAAATTTACATGAAAATACCCTTAGATTCGGGCAATGTTTAGTTCTATTTTAGCTTATATTTTGCCCTTAGTTTCAGTTCATTACAGTTTGGTATTTAGTGAATAACCCTGCTAATAAAAGTCTGAAGGTTAACTGGTTCTATCCCAAGATTTCTGACGAAGGGCTTCCTTGGCCTCCTCCGCATCCAACTCCTCCTTGAACCATGAGGCCACCTGAAGCAGTATCTGGAACCTTCTCATGCTGTCGTCACAGTGCATTGAAGGTGTTTCAGCTGCAGGGGGCTGACTTTGAACTTCAGGAAGTAAGCTTTGAACTTTAGGAGGGCTCCTAACCTGCAGCAGAGCAAGAGGAGCCGATGACACTGGGAACCGCATGGGAAAAGTAGCAACAGTGCTGGTGGAAGGAAGGGTGTCAGCCGATGCTGTTCCAGTTACAATGTGTGCAGGCATTAACTTCTTGCCCCCTTTGATTCTGGAACGGGAGCATCTTTTTTTCTCTGCGATCTTCGGCAAAATCATACGCCTGGCGTGAATAAACCAATCCTCTATCTGCAAACAGAGAGAGGATAAGGGGTCAAATATATGTGTAAATATATTATATGTAGCTGAGCATTATGGGAAACAGACTGCAACCACTGCAGTCCATGACTGGACCAGCTTATATTTAACAACATGCATGCATTTAATACAGTTGGCACACACTGAGGTTATGTATAAAGATCGGTTCTGGAAGTGTTCCATAGTGATTGGTCTTCTATTAAATCTCTCACTGATTTTACTCTTCATATAGAAGGTACAGGCTGTCTAAGGACATTCTAGGTATAGAACGGGGTCAGGTTCCTTACCTGACTGCTTGTTAAGCTTGTATACTCCATCATCTCTGCTTTCGCTAAATCGTCCGGGTATGGGTAAAAGTAGTTCCTTTTTAACCATTTAAATAGTATCTTAACTGCTCTTTTTGGTAAATTTTGGTGTATTGTGTTCTCATCCGCATTGCTTGGTTCTTCTGCTTCCCAGACGTTCCATGCTGCTGCAGAATGGGGAGAGAATGGGGAGGTTAAATAGAGAACAGAAATAATCATTTCTCTCGAGAGGCCAACTAGGTCCCAGATTCCTCTGTTATGTTCACACAGGGCTGATATCAGGGGGTGCCAGCAGTCTTGGGGAGCCCTTACTCTTCGCCTCTGTGCTGGTAATCCACTGTGTGCACCTGCAGGCCCTGCTGGCTTCAAAAAGGGGGCCAGGACAGACTTAGTTCCAACTCCGGCACTCGCAAGCTGCGGCTATAAAGTGCCGCCGCAGGTTTGCTATGGCACACAATGTATGTCTGGCTTGCGACAGGAGGCAAGGACTGGCTGCCGGAGGGGGGAAATAGAGACTGCTGGGCCCCTCTTTGCTGTACAACAAGCTGAACCACCCAGCCACAAGTGAATCCAGCGCCACAAATAAGAGGCGGGGAGGGGGGGAATAAATGTTATCATTAAAAAAACAAAAATACCCTACCACCCACCGTCCTTGTCTTACATAAAAGTAATGATGGTCCAGGTACTCATGTTCAATCCAGTGGGCAGATTTATTGGAGCAGTATCAAAACAACGTTTCGTCCCAAAACAGGGCCTTTGTTACATAAAGACACATCCACACAAACATACACCCATTGTTTCCACTACACATGCTGCACCCACTACACACACACACACACACACAGCATCCATTATACACACAACATTCACTACGCAAACACACACACAGCATTCACTACACACACACAGCATCCACTACGCAAACACACACAGCATTCACTATACACACAGCATCCACTACACAAACACACACACTGCACACACTACACACACACACCATCCACTTCTCAAATACACATTGCATCAATTACACACCCACAGCATCAACTACACACACACACACACACATCATCCACTATACATACAACATCCACTACACAAACATACACACATTATTCACTATACATACAGCATCCACTACACAAACTGCGCCCATTTCACATACAAAAACTGCACTCACTACACACACTGCATCCACTACACACACACAAACTGTACCCATTTCACATACACAAACTGCACTCACTACACACACTGCATCCACTACACACACACACACACTGCATCCACTACACACACTGCACAAACTGCACACACTACATCCACTACACACACACATTGCATCCATTACATGGCAACAACATCCACTACATGCACTGCCTCCACTACACACTCATACTGCATCCTCTACACACACTTACAAACAGCTTTCACTACATACACAGCATCCACTACACAAACACATATACACACACGGACACACACAGCATCCACTACACAGACATACACACAGAATCCACTACACAAACACACAGCAGTCACTATACACACTGTATCTATCCACTACACAAACACACAGCATCCACCATACACACAGCATCCACTATACACACAACAACCACTACACAAACACCCACCCACAGGATTTACTATATACATTGCATCCACTACACACACACACACTGCATCCATTACACACCCACAGCATCCACTACACACACAGCATGCACTACACAAACATACACACGTCGTCCACTACACACACACAGCACCCACTACACACACAAACTGCACCCACTACACACACTGCATCCACTACACACACACTGCATTCACTATACACTCACAAACAGCATCCACTATATACACAGCATTCACTACATAATCACACACACAGCATCCACTACACAAACACACACACAGAGCAGTCACTATACACCCTGCATCCACTACACAAATATCCACAGCATTCACAATATACACACACAATGCACCCACTACACACAAACTGCACCCACTTCACATACACAAACTGCACCCACTACACACACTGCATCCACTACTACACAGACTGCATATACTACACACTCACACTGCATCATCTACACACTCACGCAGAGCATCCACTACACAAACACACACATACACGTAATCCACTACACAAACACACACACAGCATTCCACATACACACAGCATCCACTAAACAAACACACACACAGCATTCCACATACACACAGCGTCCACTACACAAACACACACACAGCATTCACTAGACACCTTTATTTTTTCAGAAGTAACTTCCCTGGTGGTCTGGTGCCATCGCTACCTCGCCTGCAGCTCTGCCAGGTGCAGAGCTGCAGACTACGTGATGGGTGTCTCGCGAGCTTTGGAAGTGTCAGAACATTGTCGTGGTAACCCGCGGTAATGCTCTGATTGGCTGAGATTGCGAGACACTAACTTCAGTCTGCATCTGACTGACCATTGGTAGAGCTGCAGACTGGAGGTGCAGTGCTCCCTCCTCATGGGCAGAGTGAGTGGAGGGGCCACACACCCAGCGGCATACAGGGCAGACTGCAGGGACATGTTATTCTGCCCTCAGGGGAGCAAGGCCCCGGGGGCCCAGGCCTTGAGCTGTGTAAGAGATCCCACAATTTCTGATGGCAGCTCTGTGTTCACATTTTCTGCTCCCATTTAAAAATATCACCAGCAATCCACTTCACATCACTGTACAGTGTATATCATAATGTCACAGAGCTTCAAAGATATAAAACTCACATTCACTCAGATCTTCTCCCAACTCTACTGTTTTGGCCTAATTTTTTAATATCCTTTGTGAATCGCTTCAATCATTACAGGTGGTAGCTTACCTTGTGCAGAAACATTGGGTTCCATGATTTTGCAGTATTGGTGAGCAGGGAGCCAAACCCTGAATAGGGTAGGTGAGGGAATGTGACAGTCTGACTAGTGGGAATACTTTGATATATTTATTCCCTTTAGATTTGGGAGGGTGAGGTAAAATTGTAAGCAAAGACCATGATTGGTTAAGGAATCGGGTTGGTGGAGTGGTCTTAAATCTGCCTTTTAGTGAAAATTAGCATTTCACTGAGATATCCCTAAAAGGATTAACAAGGTGTAAACTGCATTATTTAAAAAACAAAAACAAAAAAACAACTGGACTGTTTAGCTGTGTCTCCATGCACAGAGGGGGGTTATCTTTCTGTCCTGGCCTCACACTGGCCACTAACTACAGATTGACATGTGCAAATATTTCTAGATTTTATTTGCAACAGATATATGGGTATGTTAAAAACAAACCAATATCTTGAGGGAAAAATATGACTTTTATTTCACA